TAGCAATTTACGATTTTACGGGTACGGTACGGCACAGAGCACTACTTGGGTGGTAATACCAATAAAATACTACACGCTATGATACGGGAGGATATACTTTCCAACTAACAACTTGGTATTTACTGTTGAGGAAAGTATGGAATGATTGGAATGGAATCTCATCGTACATTCCAAGGAGTCAGAAGTTCCTGTCAACTTTGTCAATTCGCCTGTTGATCTCGAGTAATAGAATTCAAAATATTGGCTGATTGATCAGATTGATTTGTCAGGAGAGTGGTGACCTAGTATGTCAGGCAAACACGGAGTAGGTGAGTGAGTGAAAGCCCCCTCGTATTGAATTTCGTTTATAACAGAACGAACCATGCTCCCATGCACTCACATCACAGAAACTACAGAAACTAGGTATAGTCTCAAATATCTAATCGTCCATCAATCCCTTTTCACGTTCCCATCCTTTCCACTTATACTTACTCCGTACAAAATCCTTCCTCAGCTCCGAAATCACATGTTGAAATTCGATACCTTGGAAGGATTAGAACACACAGAACTTTTCTACCATCACACCACAGTATGTTACCAAGAAACCCGATGCTCAACTTCCAATGCTTCATCATTAAGCGCTCAGTCCAGCCGGGGCGACCGAGAATATCCATATCCAAGTCAACACCCGGAAAAGATGACACAATACAACATCTAGCTCACAATTAATGATACATCCTCCATTCATCCTCTATACCCACCACCACCTTTCCCATATCTACCACCCTCCCCTTCACCTCTCCCCCTCACCCACCCGGCCACCGTACCACCCCTCGAAGCTTTTGCGGAGGCATATGTACGGAGTACCTACCTATACCTAGCAAGATTCGCTGCGCCGCCCCCAACCTCCACTCTCTCCCGAGTCTTTTACCTTTTGCCGCCTTTTCCCAATCTTATTTTTTTCGACCTACCTACCTACCTAGATATCAAGAATGTATCAAGATCCAGACGCTCTGAATGCCATATTGGGTATATTTGTCCTTGTACCCCGTCCTGATCTACAATCACCAACCTACAAATTTATAATTACAGGAGATGAAATCATGGATTATCTACAGTATCTGGAGAGTCCCTGTGTCTAGATAGGCATACTTTGTACAGTGCAATTACATCCATCCATCCATCCATCCTTCCGATCCCCCGGCTTTGGCACAGAAGAAATAAATAAACGCATCTCATTTCGTACCTTACCTTACCTACACCTTCCAGGCACCTAGCTACCGAGTATCTAATTACCTACTCTACATGCACCCAACAATCAGCCAATCCAATCAATCTACCTCCACACACCCGAGCAAGACATCTTACACATGCATGCAATGCGAACTCCCACGCGTTACTGTAATACCATGCGGCTCTTTTGAAATTTATTACTTGTTACTTGTGATATTGCATATATATTTTATATTCACGTTTCTTCCAGAATCTAGCATCTCCACCCATCTACCCATCTATCCATCTCGTTCATTCAATCGATCCACCATCACTGCATCCAAGCCAAGACTAATATCTAGACTTCCAATCTCTGCCTTTCTCTACTCCGACCACACCTCCCTCCAAATACTGTATGTAATACTATACATGTATCCCCCCTCCATATTCAACACCCTTTCCACATTCCCACCAACTATACATAAATAACCATGACCAACTCAAGAGCCACGAGAGATACCACCTCCAAAAAGTAGAAAGACAGAAACAAAAGAGAAAAAAAAACTCCAAACACAATGCTAAACGCTATCAATATTCCATAGGTATATGCATCTAAACGCCCCAGATCAAATCAAATCAAAAACTCCACATCTCCAAGCCCAAAATTGTGAAATTTGATTTCCCCAAACATTTAAAGAATTCGAATGATGCCCATCAAGGGCCCATTCTCGTAGTGTTTTGTTTCATGTCCGTTTACCGGACGTGTTTAGTTAGATATACGAGGCCATTCCGATCGATCAGCTGGATGTCGAGGTAATACGTCTTCTCCCGTGACCGTTGAACGAGGTGCTGCCTCAATTACATAATCAATACCATCATCAGACATATATGACGGGGGACGATTAGCCGTCGAGGGTCGTTCGGATATTCGAGAGATGGAGCGATTTAATGCCGCTTCGTTTCTTTGCCAGAAAATCCGATTTGGATCAACCCTCTATATATACTGTTAGATTAATCATGTCACGTCTTCACTACGGATTGAAGTTACTTACCACCGACTCTCTCCATAATCCATAAGCTGGAGGAGGCACTTTCGTAGCTTGACTTTCAATGCCCGCTGCTTCTTCATCTCTGGCGAGCGCGACTGGTATAGGGACTGAGGTTTCGGCATAACCTCCAGGTCCAACCATCGACGGAAGACGTCGTGGATTTGGTTCTCCCTCTATCGGCGGTTTTAAGATCATCATACAGAGGCGAATCAAAGAATGGCAGAAGAAGATAGTAACTATCAAAATAATCAAAATTAAGAGAACGTGAAATTCTCGGCTCTCATCTTTATTTGATAATGCCAATGCGAGGTATATTGTGAGCACTAAAACGAGAAACTAAGAATAACATTAGAAAATTGTGGGGGAAAAGAGGGTGTGGAGAAAAATGTAACACATACCAGCCCAGATATCAAGGAATGCAATATCTTTTGGCGTATTCTTTTGTTCCTGATTCTTGGCGCACACCCTCGCCCACTTTCTTGCGTTCCCCTTGGAGTTCCCCTTCTTCTCCTACCTCTATCTGCTAAATCGGCTAGATGCTGCTCAGCAGGATCTACACTAAGAAACCTTCGCTCCGATCGTCTTCGCACTCGAGGTGGTATTGTTGAGATTGGAGACGAAACTGCCGGAAGTTGTGTAGATTGTGAGAGTCTACTATTGGAACGAGTCGCGACAGGTGGTGGACGACGTTCTTCATGTCGAGGTAATGTTGGCTCAGCAGCGGCAGAGTTTCGGCGCGTCGAGCTTCGACTTATGGTAAGGCCCGGAATATGGATTCGAGTTGATGGCAGATTGCTAAGGCCAACTAATCGTGGAGCTTTAGGACTTTCTGGGGAAGGACTCCTAGCCTCAATGCTTGATCGTCCCGAAAACAACGAATTTAGCCCCCCTCGAATTTCCTCCAACCTCGACTGACGCCTTTCTGATTCGCCTGATGGCACATCCCTCTGTCCACTCTCATACTGTCGTGGAGGCATGATATGCTACTTCGAAATGTGTCGCGAAATTAGTGAATGTAGACAATGTGCCTAGATGATCGAAACAATATTTTTCCTTCTTAAGAAAACTGAGTTGCTTTTGTTGTTTGCGCAACCCACGACGCCCCCGAGTTGTTTTTATTTTCCACAGCGAGAGGTTAGGCCCTGTCAACACGACCTTGTGTGATATAACACGAAGACATTAGATCGAATAAAAGGTGAAATTATCGTAGTAAACCAATCTACCCGTCCTCATTGCACACTCGAATCGAAAAGCCAGCAATCGTTCGCAAATCAGTATCCACCAACCGACAGGATATGCAGGTAGGCAGCAGAAGGATCCGGAAAGAATATGGGGAAACTGTGATGTAAAGTAACAAACCCAGATGCACAAAAGAAAGCGCAAAGACCAAGAGATGACCAAGAGAGTGAAGAGCGAGAGAAGGATACGAAACGTCCGAGAGAGAACTCCTTCGCTCTACGAGTGAGTCTCGAATGATCAGAAATTGCTTTGAAATTGACCACTAAAAAGGGACGTAAGGGTAAGAAGGAACGGAGAACACAGCTCACGGACTTCAAGGTCAAGCAAGATATGCAAATATAAACAAGATGCGAACAAAAAAAGACAGGATAGGAGAAAAAGCTTTGGCCGATGATGATGATTTCAGTGGACTGTACCAGGTAGTTAATTTCGTCCCAGTCACTACTCTATTTTGGTAGGCAGAGAAAGAACGACAGAACCTCCTCAAGAAGCTGGCTAATAATCATTGATCTCTCATGTCTCATAGAAGACGACTAGAAGATGGCCATGGGCAGCAAATAATTTGATACAATACCGGATAAATCTGCGACGAAAATAACAGTGTCCCTGCATATCAAGATGTTTGACATATTTCCAATTGCGAGCCGCATTTCAGGGATGTAAGGATGTGACTTGTAGATTAAATTTGTTTGGGTCTAATTGAAGTTTGACCTGGGACATATTTAGTTCGAGGTGAAGCCTTTCAAATCTTAAGTCTGTTTCAGGTGAAGGCTGTGACCCACCAATCAAATTTCTTCTTCCTTTCTTTTTTTTCAGGGGGGTTGAGCTCGTCTAATTGATTAACCGCGCTGCTTATGATGAAAGGTCAAGACCTTGGAGTTTTGAAGAAAACGCTATGATTTATGCAGAGAGCACGGATTAGAAACATCTAGATTACCTAGATGGGTAGGTAGGTAGATAGATGATTAAGTATGTAATGATTTCAGTAGAAAAGGAATATGAAAATATGGTATGCACCTCACGAATGCATTCATTCAATTCACATGTGAGGTGTTCTTGGTGTTTACATAGGTGTTTGATGATACAATTTACACATTTATCTGTACTTCTACATACTTTTACAGATATAAGATCCAGCCACCCAGCTCCATACAAATTTCTAATTTTGCAGATCTCGTACTGTGGCTATTTTAATCAGTAATATATTGAGTGGCTTGAACCAAATATATTGATTTGGATTGGTGAGGGGTAAATGTGTGAATATTTTTCATAGCATTTATCCGCGCTCGTTCAGGTCTTCCAACTTTCTCGTATCAATTATACCATTGCCGTCGATTTAAATCATCTGTAAGGCTTATCCTACTCGCATGCGCAATCCCCATTCCCTCAACGCCCCCCGAATGGTTTGCAGAGCTTTTCGTAAGCTTCAAAGTTCCTGATTCCTAAACTCCGAGTTTCTGCAAGATTTTTGTGTTTGGGTATCTTTTCATTGATTTCGACCTCCTTCTTCTGCGTACCATCTCACTTCAATTCTCCCAAGAGTAATGTACGATCTGAAGAAGCGGTAAGAACTAAGAGATTGTTAGTAACATAAGGTGCAGAGTTGGAGGAGGAAATCTTACTTATAGGATCTTTTCCAGGTGATAACTCGGCACAATTAACCGTTCCTTTGTGACCAGGTAATTTGTACAATATTTTACCGTTCTCATTGTTCCAAACAACAGCAGTGCCATCTCCAGCACCAGCGGCAATTTTCTTCCCAGTTGGGTCCCAACTTGCTCGAATCAAATTCTTCTCCATTCCCGCCGGGGCGCCATCAAAGGTTCGGACATGTCGTTCAGTGGGCGCAAATGGTCTGATATCCCATGTTCGAACCGTCGAGTCCATAGAATTTGATAAGAGTGTTTGAGAATCCGGTGAAACGCGAAGCGATGTAATCGTATCTTGATGGCCAAGCATAGAATATACCACAGCCTTTCTCCTCATATCCCACACCTTGATATCATTGTCGATTCCACCAGAATACAGCTCATTTCCAGCTTCAGCTAATGCGACAGCCGTGACAGGGAACTCAGTAGGGATGAAATCGACAGCAGCTTTTGTCCTTGGATCCCAAATGCCTATATACCCATCGTCTGATCCACTTATGAGAAGTTCCTCTCCTCTTTTACTGATATCCATGCAATTGATTACTTCTTCGTGTCCAACATGTCTTCGTATCCTTGTACCCGTTTCTAAATCCCAACTGGCTAGATGCATATCTGCAGATGCCGAGAACAAGGCCCTCGAGTCGCGCGACCATTGTAAATCTAATATTGCGCCCTTATGTCCTGTTAAAGTTCCGTAGTTTTCGCAATCTCCATATGTTCTCCATAAATCTGCCAAAAAAAATCAGTATATATGCAACGAAGAATGCATATGTATTACTCACTAATTGATCTATCCATTGACCCTGAAGCGATATAATTTCCATTGGGATCGAATTTGGCAGCAAATACCTCTCCTGAATGTCCTTCCAATTGCATTACTGGAGCTTGCAAACCACTCGTCCGAGGTACCTATTTTACAAAGGTCAGTCAGGCGCCCCCAGATAGCGGATTATTCCATAAATATTGATAGGTACGTACTGCTTGAATGAGCGCGCCATTGCCACTTGAACCATTTGTGGTGGATAAAGCTGTGCTGTCATTGCCTACATTCTGTCTCTTCACAACCATCTGAGATGATCCAAAGGACCCAGAAGCTGGACGTTTTCCAGAAGACATGATTATAGCTTCTTCCTTCAAGCTACGCGTGATTTTTCGAGAAATGATATGGATGTTTTAAGCTGCGCGTTGTTGGCACCAAGGCTCAATAGCAGGACGCAATATGAATTTCTGAAAAGTACGCTAAAGTGCGGCCGCCTATCCGGCTTGTGCCTGGACCAGCTTCCAGCTCCAATGGGGATATTATCATGTAGCAAGAGCAGCTTCGTAACATGAATTGATTCTACAACCCGATTTCAAGTGTAGTTTAAGAATTATAAGACACAAGTATGGCTTCCAACAAAGCCGCGAGGATGGGCGAGGAGTAAGTAATCTCTTGTCGGTCATCAAGGCGACATATACTAATGCGCAACTCAGGGTCTGGAAGTAAGTACACCAGCAGCACAAGAAACACTTGCCATATCTCACGATGGCTAATCAGCATCCAGAAGTCGTGTAGACAAAGTCAATGCCGAGCTAGTCACTCTTACCTATGGAACCATTGTCGCACAACTTTGCAAAGATTACGAAAACGATTATGTAGAAGTCAACAAACAACTTGATAAGATGGGTTATAATATTGGGCTACGTTTAATCGAAGATTATCTTGCCAAGTCAAATACCATGAGACGTTGCTCGAACTTCAGAGAGACTGCGGAGATGATTTCCAAGGTACAGTTTCAATCGGTATTGTGCGGACTTTGCGGAGCATAGTGCTGATAGAAACAATAGGTTGGGTTTAAGATATTTTTGAACATCACCCCGGCGGTATCTAACTGGACGAGCGATAACAAACAATTTTCCCTAATATTCGAAGAAAACCCCTTGGCCGACTTTGTGGAATTGCCAGACGATGGAAGAGCACAAGATGAGTTATGGTATTCGAATATCTTCTGTGGGATTTTGAGGGGTGCACTGGAGATGGTGCAAATGCAAGTCGAGGCTCACTTCATCAGTGATATCCTTAGGGGTCATGATTCAACTGAGATGAGAATTACTTTGGTCAGATACATTGATGACGAGATGCCAATGGATGATGATTAAAAATCCGGTTGTTTCAAGCGGGGTTGCATATTTTTGGCGTTTAGGACGGGTGTGTCATTGCGAGGATTTTGAAGACATGGGATCTTTATGGCTCAAGGTAGATTATAAAATCTTTGGTTTTAATGTCGAAAATTAATATATGATGTTGAGACTGTGTAAATTTGGCAGTCCAGTAGAAGTATCTACGTTGATGACTAGGTGAGATATCTTGGCGTGATTGCTGGCTCATCCTGATTTTTATTTGTTTTCTAAGCTACTTGACGATTCGACAACTTTCGTCTGGAAGTTTGACAGCTCATGGATTGGAGCAAGAGTTGGGTATGGAGATTGGCAAATTATCGTCCGTTGTTGTCGGAGAATGGTCGAAGATTGAAGTGGCATTTCATATAAAGAAATGAAGGTCACAATGCGTTGGGTGGAACGAAGTCGGCGAGTGCTGGGAATGCTGATAAATCAAATTATAGCTGCAATTCAACTTCTTGCGGTGTAGTGTTCAATTATAATGAAGCAAGATAGGGTTGGTTGATAGAACAGTTCAATAGACCAGTTAAGGTTGGTTTTTCTCTTAGCTTCAGAAAAGAGGCAGTCGTGAGAGAAGGAACTTCTCGGCGGTGGAGCGGAGGGTGGAGTGGCGTTGAAAGGAATGTTTGATCGATGAGAAATGTCAAAAAGGATCATGTTATCGCTGTGAATGGGACCAACTAAAGCTCAATGGCTCGGAAGATTCAACAATTAGGCTCAGTAGTACATCATAGGTCGCTAGAGAGGCATCTTTTTCCTTGTCTCAACGCGAAAACTGGCAATATCACTCGCAAAACCGTGGGCAAAGCTTTGTATGTAAGGAGGGAAGGAGCGAAATGATGAGGGCATGGTATTTGAGTTGGGTCTGTACAAGTTGTCTCATAGTGTTGATCAACCTTCAAGCGGTTTTCACTGTTTCACAAAATGCATGAAGTATAAACTAGCTGGCCAAAAGAGCTCCAAAACAATTATTTTGCAAACCGACAAAGAAGAAGCTGGCGAATCTGAGCTCAAGGTTGTAACCCCATAGCCCAGGTCTCAGAATTTGACCGCAACGAAGTTTCGAGGACTATGTCTTCCATAGGAATCTAGAGAAGAATAAAGGACTTTTAAAAGGACAAGAAGCGAGGGATTACCCTTTCATTATGATTGTGTTCACCACTTTCCATCTCAAATTTACATAGCTACCTCTTGAGTGGTAGTTAAGACGAGAACCAGATGATCCGTTCCCATCATACTAAACTTTTAAACCTCAGATTTTGACCGTCATCTCAGATAATGTACGCCACAAATACCATTGCGGCTTCAAAGTTTCAGAAGACATGGCTATCTAAGGTATGTTCAGTTCTCTTTCTCATTGCATCACGATGATTCAAATCGTGGAATTCTAGACTTTCCAGGGACCTGCACTATGGAGGTGAAGTTTAGACTGACATAAGTATAAAAAACTAGGCGGTAATCATTGAGACTCGATTCAAGTGTTGAAGCTGTGACCCATTATAAAATGGTATCATGGTTTCTGATAGCTTCAGTCCACCTATCCTTACAGTCTAGATGGGAAGCAAAGGTTTATATAGAGTCACCTGAATCTGATTCCAATATAGTTGAGTTACGGGATGAGGCACAGATATTGAGTACACAAGAAGTTTGAATTAAATGCAATCTTCGATTTCAGATCAATAGTGGAGAATTTGCAAGATCTACAGATTCTATTCATAGAATTAGACTTGCACAACCTCAAGCTCATCGACTCATTGTCTATTAGTAATCTCATATACAACGTAGAGTATGAGCTTCGCCTACTGATAGAGCCAGGTTCAAGTGATTCCAGTATGTCAATCCTGCCATTGAAAATTGGTTTGAACTTGTAGTTTTAGCTAATCCCCCATGACATTCCAAACACCACTCAACTCATCCACAAACACGCGCAACATCTTTACAATACTACAAAGCGGTGGGAACTTGATTCCTAGTTATCAAGCGTTTGAAGAAGAGAGTGCTTGTTAATGATTTCATTCACGAGAGGTATGGTTGTCATTACACACATAGAAAGACGATGGGTCATCAAGGGGATAGATATAGTAGTCGGGATGCTCGAAGTAGATAGTCAGAAAACAACAATGGGCTACTTCAAGAGCGATAGAAAACTTGAAAACCCCACTGCGTTTTGATATGCGAACAAATTAGACTGCTTGCAAAGGCGGGACTTAGCAAAGGATGCTAACGCTTTCAGGGGCCGCAAGCGAGCTAAAAAAGTCAAACATGCAATTGATAATATCCTCTATATCTGTGGTGTTCAATAATGATAGCAGTATATAGTCTGGCCTTACTAAAGCAAAATTAGCCAATGCGGTCCACGATGACGAGACCTTGAAAGTAATCTTCGAGCGTTTATAGATGGAGCGTCTCAAGTGCAATGGCTCTGATTGCTCCGATGCTACTAATAGTTCTTCACTGCGAAGTATAATCACCTCGTCTGTTGCTATAATCCTTCGATCTGGTGCTTGCAATATAATGAAAGAGACTGGCTAGCAAATAGATTGTTAGCTGCGACAGCGGCGTGTGCAGCGATTTCAGTGGTGTGTGTTGGTACTTCTATGAGCCCTGTCAGTCAAGGAATCTTTGCTTTCTATATGGATCTCGGAATGTGAGACGTGAGAACTCACGATTGGCATTTTTGCCACAAGGGTCTTCGAAGGGACTTTTGTTAGAGTGAGCGGTCAAGATAAAATACATTTCTCACATTATCACTTTGAGGTACAATTTTGCTAGCAAGGCGTTGAAATTTCTAAGGTACTGCAAGTGTGCCAGTATCTATCTTGTTTGCATGCATGGTAACAAACCAAAGCTAATGTTGATAGCATTCTTCTCCATAAGCATCAGCTTGAGAAATGAATGTTACAATATTACATGTAGAATAAGATCATGAACCTCACCATCAAAAGATTTCTGTCTCTCGTTTAGAACAACCACATCAGCCACCGTCAAAATATCCTCTCCCCTATAAAGCAATCTCCCGGCGGCCATAAACAATCTAAATTTGGCACCACTCTCATCTTCTCTCCTTCGACACTTTAGCAGTCTGCTTGGTTGGCATTTCATGCTTGCAGTAAAAACCTCCCTACATATGATATATGTGTAGATGCTCACGCGCCAAATTTGTAGGTACGGAACTTGGAAGGTCGATTATCGATGAAGGATAGATCGATGAAATTCGATATTTGTTGCTGGCCGCACAGAGCAGCGAAGAGCCATCTGTTAATCCGGAAGGAATATTCTTAGTATATCATGATTATGACGTCCTATGAGAATGGACCTTGTCAACGTAGAATCAGTCATAACCTCCTCCGATCTGGCTTGCAAATGCAGTAGAAACACTCTTTTCATCGTCATCGAAACGACGACCACTGAGTAGAGAGCTCGTGCCAAAGACACTGCCAGCATCGCCAGTTTTGTAATCAGCAATGCGACCACCTGATTCGACGTATCGCTTCAAGCGGTCAGATTGACTCAAGCTAGTTTGCTTTTGTCCTTCGTGAACGCTGACACCGAGGCTAACACCTCCTTGGCCAATGCCTCTGCCATCTGTAACACTGCTGCTTGTGACATCAGTGAACTCACTGGCGGCAACAGATTCTCCAGCTATGCTCTCAGGTCCACGCCCACGACCCTTTTGACCATTGGCACGTGGGCCTCGTGAATCAAGACCAGGCCAGTTGTCAAGACCGGTAAGAGGGAAGTTACCAAAGCCGGCAGGATAAGCGGATCCGACACCCACGCCGCCGAGATGAGATGAGTGGACCGAAGAAACATCATCCAAAGCAGAACTCATCATCGAACCAGTGTCAGTGAAATCCTGTAGTGGAGGGGCTTTGTTATTGCCATTTCGGCCATTGTGGGGCAATCCCATTTGATAACGTTGTGGGCCGCGGTAAGTTGTCTTTGGACGACTGAAT